CACAGACGCTTCCTGCGATTCACACTCGGACATGACCACTTTCAATACAGGGTACTTCCATTCGGTCTCTCCACAGCACTACGGGTATTCTTCAAGACCCTAGCTGTAGTTGTAGCCCACCTCCGCAAACACGGGATTATACTTTTTCCCCTACTTGGACGACTGCCTTATCAAAGCCAGCTCTTACAACGAGATGTTAAAAGCGATGAACTTTACCATCTCTCTTTTCCACAGCCTAGGCTTGCAAATAAATTTCCAAAAATCCACCCTGATACCTACACAGCAGATAGAGTTCATAGGAGCTCACCTGGATTCTATTAGAACCAGAGCCTCGTTTCCACACAATAGATTCCTCACTATTATACATCTCATACGCACGATCTCTGTTCGCCCCAGAATACAGGCACGGATCTGCCTACAGCTTCTTGGTCACATGGCAGCCACCACCTTCGTGGTCAAATACGCCAGGCTGCACATGAGATGCCTTCAGGGTTGGCTCAATTCCAACTACAAACCCAGCAGACACAGTTTCTGCATAACACTGACTCTGCCACTGAATGTATTGGCTTCCCTACATTGGTGGACAAAACCAGAGAATCTATGCATGGGTGTTCCCTTCCATCCACCCCCCCCAGTACTCATGCTCACCACGGACACTTCCCTGATAGGCTGGGGAGCGGACCTAAGTGACCACAAGATACAGGGCCGCTGGTCCCCCTCAGAGACGTGTCTGCACATCAGTCTTCTAGAACTCAGGTACGCTTGCCTTCACTTTCTTCCCACCATAAAGAACAAGTCCATCTGAGTTCTGATGGACAATATAGCATATATGTTTTACTTCAACAGGCAGGGAGGAGCACGATCTCATTCCCTATACACAAAAGCCATCTGACTATGGAATTGGTGCATACAACATCACGTAGAAATCACTGCTTCCTACCTGCCTGGGTGTCACAACACTATCGCCGACACACTTAGCAGACATTTCTCCGAGGAACACGAATGGGAATTACATCCCACGATACTCCAACAGCTCTTCTCCCACTGGGGCACTCCGTCGATAGACTTGTGTGCCACTCCTCAAAACCCCAAATGCCATCTATTTTGCTCCAGAGCAAGATTCAGACACACATCTCTAAGAGACGTGTTCCTCATTCCTTGGAACAACTCCCTCATGTACGCTATTCCACTGATTCACAGGGTTCTACGCAAGATCACAGAGGACAAGGCCCGGGTCATACTTATTGCCCCAGCTTGGCCCAGACAAACATGGTATCCTTACCTGCTATGCATGTCCATCCATCCTCCAAGGACTGTCCCCGACAGGCCAGATCTGCTCTCCCAGAACTGCGGTCAGCTTCTCCATTCGCAGCTCCGGAAACTCCATCTGACGATGTGGTTCCTTCATGGTTTCAATCCCACGAATTAGCCGCAATACATCCTCCTGCACAGTAGAAGGGACTCCACTTGTAAGACTTACCTGCAAAAGTGGAAAAGCTTCTCCATCTGGTGCTTCCACAGATGCCTGACACCCCGAACTGCAACCCTCCCTGACATCTTAGACTATCTTTTCGAACTAAAACAGGACGGGCTTTCGCTCAGTTCTATCGGAGTACACCTCGCGGCCCTTACCACCTTCCATGACACACTAAATAGATATTCACTATTTGCCCACCCCACCATTAAACGCTTCCTCAGGGGCCTACAAAATCTCTACCCTGAGATTCATACACCAGTAGCCTCCTGGAGTCTCAGTCTAGTCCTCCGCGCTCTTATGAAACCTCCTTTCGAGCCCCTGGCTACCTCATTCCTGCTCCACATGTCCATGAAAGTGGCTTTCTTGGTTGCCATAACGTCAACAAGAAGGGTTGGTGAAATAAGTGCCCTGATGGCCTACCCTGCCTACACCATTTTCTCTAAAAACAAGTTTCAGAGTAGCAGCTGTGTTAGTCTGTATCCGCAAAAAGAACAGGAGTACTTGTGGCACCTTAGAGACTAACCAATTTATTAGAGCATAAGCTTTTGTGGACTACAGCCCACTTCTTCGGATGCATATAGAGTGGAATAAATATTGAGGAGATATATATACACACATACAGAGAGCATAAACAGGTGGGAGTTGTCTTACCAACTCTGAGAGGCCAATTAAGTAAGAGAAAAAAACTTTCGAAGTGATAATCAAGATAGCCCAGTACAGACAGTTTGATAAGAAGTGTGAGAATACTTACAAGGGGAGATAGATTCAATGTTTGTAATGCTTATGCTCTAATAAATTGGTTAGTCTCTAAGGTGCCACAAGTACTCCTGTTCTTTTTTCTAAAAACAAGGTTAACTCCGACCCCACCCCAAATTCCTCCCCAAGGTGGTGGCTCCCTTCCATTTTAACCAGCCAATACACTTGCCTGTATTCCATCCCATCGACTCCACAGGAAGCAGCGTTACATACCCTCGATGTCCGACAGGCTCTTGCATTCTATCTTGACAGAACTAAACCATTTCGTAAATCCCCATGGCTATTTGTTTCTACTACTGAGAGATCAAAGGGTGAGGCTATCTCTAAGCAAAGACTCTCCAAGTGGATCTCGGACTGCATCAGATCCTGCTATCAGACCCAGAATGTTCAACCACCAGAGAATATTAGAACTTACTCTACTAGAGCAATGTCAACATCCATTGCCTTCCTCCACAATGTACCCATTACAGACATATGCAAGGCGGCCATGTGGACATTTGACCACACGTTTGCCAAACATTATGCTATCACACGGGATACCACGGCAGACACCATAGTCGACCATATGGTACTGTCTACCATTATCCCTCACACATATCCAAAATCCCACCAACCATAGTGGGTACAGCTTCACATTCACCTGGAGTGGAGCACCCACAGGGACAGCACTTGAAGAAGAGAAAGTTATTCACCTTGCAGTAACTGAGGTTCTTCGAGATGTGTGTCCTTGTGGGTGCTCCACTACCCACCCTCCTCCCCTCTACTTTAGAGTACTAATCAGACAACTCTACGGTAGAGAAGGAACTGAGTGGGGTGCAGGACGCGTGTGCTCAGGCAGACCTTAACGCCGCCGCAAGATAGCAGCTGAGCGTGTGCATCCTGACCAGGCACTGCTACCGAAGATCTCTGATCAATGGCGCTGTGACCCACCGACACCTGGAGTGGAGCACCCCCAGGGACAGATATCTCAAAGAACCTCAGTTACTGCAAGGTGAATAACTTTCTCATGTGCATAGCTCAGATGAGCAGTTTGAGCTCTGTATAGCATAGTAAACTATACACTGTGCTATGGGCTGCTATGTCTTTGTGAGGACACCCCTCAAATTCAGTCAGCTCTGTGGTGCTTTCCTTTGAGTCTTTGACTTGAGAATGTGCTTTCGCTGGTTGAAGACTATTTGCTTATGCTGTAGGGAGTGGTGTCAGTTCTGTTTTATAGGTTCTTTGCATGTGTAGGTCATGGTTAAGGCTACGATTTAGTCATGGGTATTTTTTAGTAAAAGTGATGGATAGGTCATGGGCAATAAACAAAAATTAACGGCCCGTGACCTGTCCATGACTTATACTAAAAATACCTGCATTTAAATGGGGGGAGGCGCTGTGTGTGTGGGGATGCAGCTGCGGGGAGGGTGGGGGGGTGGGGGCCTGGGGCCAGCGGCTCCAGCTGCTGAGGGCCACAGATTGCAGCTGCTCTGGCCGACCGGGGACTGCGGCTGCTCCGGCCGGCCGGGGATTGCTGCCCAGGGCCGCTCCAGTAGCTGGCCCACTGCTTGGGCGGCAGTGGGGTCAACCACACTGGCCCCTGAAGAAGTCACAGAGGTCGCAGAAAGTCACAGAATCCATGACTTCCGTGTCCTCCATGACAGACATGGAGCCCTAATCGTGGTAAAAGCACCCTTCAGTGTCCAGCTTTGAATGCAGTCTCACTGTACTATGCCTCATTGGACAGCAGTCTTCCTGCCACCTGTGTCTCTTGCTGGGGTGCAAGTATAGGGTGCATCTTATCAACAAGCAGCTAAAAATACACTCTGGAGCTGGAATGCCCAGTGGGGTTTTGTTTGGAGCAGGGGTTGGAGGCATCTGGACATGGGATCTGCCCAGTCAATGGAGTACTCCAAATGGAGAGGGCTTTTAACTAACAGGGTTTATTACTCTAACATCAGCTCAAGTTACCAGGAATTCATGCCTACCTCAGTTCTGGGCTGTTCTTTCCCCCTTTCCTCCTTCCCATATCTTACTGTGATTTCACCTTCTTGTAGCTACACACACAAGCAGCAAACTCTGGCCGCCAATAAGAGGGGCTGCAATGCCCAGGACCGGCTCTAGCTTTTTTGCTGCCCCAAGCAAAAAAAAAAAAAAGGGACGTCTGGATGCCGAAGCGCTAAAAAACCCAAAAACGGCCGCTGCAGGGAGCACGTGGAGGGCGGTCAAGGTGGCTCGCAGGGGGGTGAAGGGTGGTGCCTGCCCGCTCCCTCCGCCCGCTCGCAGCAGAGCCCCCGGGGGCTGCAGGAGGTGCTGGCTCAGCTGCTCCTTTAAAGGCGGCTCAGCCGGGCCGGGCTCAGAGTGGCGTGGGAGGCGGAGGCCAGTGCTGGCGGCGGGGAGTGGCACTTCCTGGGGAACCCAGCGGCATGGTGAGCGGCGGGGATCGCTAGTTCCTGCCCCCCAGGGCCAGGGTCCGTGCCCCTGCTGGGCTGGGACTGGCAGAGCGCAGGGAGCCGGCCGGGGGCTCTGGAGCTGCGGACCGGGTTGCCAAAGCAAAAAAAAAAAAGAACCACGGCAGGGCGGCCTGAATGTGCTGCCCTAAGATTGGCCGGCATGCCGCCCCTTACAATGTGCCGCCCCAGGCGTGTGCTTTCTCGTCTGGTGCCTGGAGCCGGCTCTGGCAATGCCTAGTGCATCTGAGAGATTCTTGTCCTGAGGCTGTCCCTGAACCAGAGGCTCTGGCATGATAGTATTTTGTATGAGGCCCCTGCTGTATTTTCTCCTGCAGGCTGGCTGCTGGCTCCACTCGATTCTGTGCTGGCATCGTGAGCACAGTCAGGCACTTGTCCATAGAGCTGAAGATGGCTGACTATTCAAACAAGCTGTATCAGCAGTTAGAACAAGAGACAGGAATCAAAACAGGTAAGAAAAGGAACCTCTGGCTCAGTTCCCTGCAAAGTGGATTCACACGAACTCCACTGCTTTCTGGGACTTGGAATGAGGTAACACTAGCATGTATAATTGCTGGTTTCTAAGCACTGAATGGGGCTTTAGCCCTCTCAGCTTGGAAACACTCCCATGGCATCCTCACGTTTGGATTGCCTGCTGCAGTCATTTAGAACACAACACTTGTGACAGGTAAGGGCAGAATTGCTGAAAGAAAACTTCCCCCATTATGCTCAAATCAGTAACATAAAAGTTAATCAAGTAAGAGTTAACTAGAATTAACCATGAAGCTTATACAGATGTATTCATTTTTGTATCTCCAGCCTGGGCAGCAATCTGAGCATAAAGTACTTGTTTATATTTCATGCACACCTGCATATTAAAGAGGGAGCAGAGGATGAGGGCCCAGTAGCAGCAACGCCACACCAGTTTCTAACCAGCTTTAATAATAGCATGCGAGAAACTCACAGATCCACAGGGTGAGTTTGCCTCAAGCCTTTAAACAGTCTGTCAGGGAGCATACCCCTCTTAGTGCTAGTCCCTAGGCCTCCACTTTTTGCAAGGGATACCCTGGAGCTCCATTACTTTGAGGCTGGGCCCTGGCTTCAGCACTACTGTTTCTCACCATGGCTCCTTCAGTAAGTCCAAAAGAACCTGAACTCCTGTTGGAGGGAGACTTTACCCTTTTGGGAGCTATGCAGCCAATAGATGTTTGCAGCAACACAGGGCAGCCTTTTCAGTACAGGACAGCTTTTATTAGTCAACTAGCATACAATATTTTAGGATCCTGAAATTACAATGGAAAAGGAAAGCTTACATGCACGGCTGGACAGAATGTCCAAGATTCAATCTCTCTCACTGCACAGGGCAGCAGTATCTTTATAACAGTTTTCTGACACCTCAGTTCTTTGTTTCCAGCCCTAGTCACCCTGTTTGCACATGATCTGCCTCCCTTCGCTCCCAGTCATTAAAAGTTAATGTCCAGTCCATGGTCTTCCATTGTATCTCCAAGGGAAGGCAATGATATGTTGGCAATTCTTGATAATTCATTGATACCAATCCTGACATGCTTATGTGACCTACATACATCTCTTAGCTCCCTGTCCTAGAGAAGATGACACCCCCTTGAGTCATAGTAGATCACAGTATAAAAGTGAATGGGGAAACAGTCATACATTTTTCATAAAAATACAGAAATTTCCCACATTCTCTATAACTACACAAATAGAACATACTTCACTTTTCAAAGTCATGCACTCAAAAGTTAGGATGTGCCAGAATTAAGTTTCCTTCACAACTTTAATTCAGTCCCCTTGTATGTATGTGTTATGAAACAGTATGCCTCATACAATGCACAGAACGGATGGTGTTCTCTTAACAACAGCTGTTCATTGTATGGCACCATGCCTTATTTACTGCGTGTTGTTTTGAAGGCAGAACTGTTAATTTCCTTATTGGCTTTCCATGATGCTCATCACTACAGTACCTGAGTGCTTCACAAACATTAATGAATTTATTTTTACAATATTCCTGTGAGATTAGGGGGGTGTTAGTCCCCTTTTACAGATAGGGTCTAATATATACACTAATTTTGGGTGCCCAATTTGAGACATCTAGGATCAACAGATTGGACATCGGAATTTCAAGTCGGGCATGCAGAAAATAAACACGCAATTAGTGAGCACTATGAAAAGTTTAAGTGACTTGCCTAGTATTGCATTGGAACTCAGTTACAGAAACAGGGGTAGAATCCAGTTCTTCAGGCAAGCATTCAGCTGCCTGAACCATGAAATCATCATTTCTCTTCCCACAATCCTCTGACTCATTCACCACTCCACTATCATGATTCACCCCCAGAGCAAGTACCGCTTGTGCACTGAATGAGTCAGGGGTCCTATGGGAAATATATTATGTGATCATGTAATGAAAGATTATCTTGATGCATACGTGTACACAGGGGGCCAAATTAAGGTTTCAGGGGATCCTTAATTCTAGCATTTCCTGAGTTCTGAGTGCTTGACTTTTAACATAGTTTGTATGTATTTTCCTAGGTTTTAAAATATGCAAACAGGAAAAACAGAAATTCCATCATGTGGCATCATATTGAAACCCACATGGGTCATCAGCAGGGTCAAACCTTTAGAGCCACCATATGAGTTAAACCACAACAACTAATGAAGTAACTGATAGCAGTAATAGGTTGTCACACTCTGTGGACCAGCACTAGAGGGGATGGGACACTGCCAGTGGGTTTCACAAATAGAGGAACGCTGAGACTTGGGGAGCTGAGGTGCCATTCTGGGATCTGAAGGGGAATGTGATCTAGTGGGTACAGAGCTTTTTGCCTGCTGTCCCCAAACCTGACCCCTTCTGCCAAGCCCCCTCCAACCTTTCCCTGTCCCAGACTCTCTCCCTTCCCCCAATTCCCAGCTCCTTGCCCAACCAATCCCAGGCTCCCCTCCACCCTGCTCCTCATCTGTTCCGTCTGTCCACCCCCAGCCTCTGGTGACACACACCCATGTTCCCCATTACCATTGGGTCTCAGTCCCAGTGTCCTTCCTTGAGCTTCTTGTCCAATCTCTTTGTCACCGCCCCCATCTTCTTGTTCCAGTTTCCTTACCCAGCTAGTCTTAGTTCTCCTTAACTCCATCTCCTCATCAGATCTGGCTCTCTTCCTCCCTTCCCCCCATACCTCTGATTCAAATCCCAATCTCCTTGCCCAGCCAGTTCCAATATCCCCACTGCCTTCTCCCAAGATCATCTGATCTCAGTCGCCCACTTCCCGGCTCCCAGTCTCTGCTCAGCCAGTCCTAGTCTCCTCCCTAACACCAATTCCCAGTCCCAGTTTCTTTCTCCCTCTCCTCCAGCTACTTGTCCCAATCTACTCTTCCTGCCATTCCCTTCCCAGATCTTGTTCCCTCTGCATTTGAATTGGGCATCCTCCTCCTCCACACTGCCTGGACTGAACAGAGGGAGGACTGAGAGCACAACAAAATCAGGCTCCCTGCTCTCAGTTCCAGTGACCAGCCCTGGTCCAGTCTGCAGTAGCACAGAGCTGCAGCTTCAGGGAAATACCTGCTTAGCCATCCAGGCCAGAGCATGTTCAGGGTGGACACAATCTTTGGGGATTTAGATGTGAAACTCTAGCAAGTCTCTACTATGCATGTGTGAACTGTGATTTTTCAAAGGCATAGCTTGGTTAAATTTGGTTGATTTTCACAGGGACGGTAAAAGGTACATCCCTGACACAAAGGCCACCCCCTTGCCAAATTTCAGGTCCCTGCTCCAAAGTTGAGGGAACTTTAGCTGTTTAAAAGAAAAGGTTGCCAAAATTTTTAACATGGGCAATGCAACAAATTTTTCCCTAGCCTCATTCTCAGAATGGCTGAATCATTTAGGCTGAAATTTCAAAATTAACCAAAAAAAAAAAAAATCAGTTTGAGGCAGACAACTGACATGGAAGATTTCAGCCCACACAGTTAACCTTTGGCAGAATTATAAGCAACAGAAAACAGGGTCTTACAGTGGATTGTGTCAGGCAACCTTAATAGTCAGCATTACCAGCCCTGCCTATAATTAAGGTTAATATTTAAAGGGTCATATTCGTCCATTAAAGCCAATGGAGTTACCTTGGTGCCAAAAGGTTTACATTCATTTTATTACATGTTAAAGTTTTTTCTTCAGCTTATTAAGCAGTTATTAGAGCACATGGGGCAGTGGTCTGAATCCCTAGTTCTAGCCTCTTATCCTGCCAGTTTCTCCTTTACTGGGCAGGAGTGTGTGGAATATAATCTGTGAGTATTTATGAACCCGAGTAACTTTTAATATAAAGGAGGATTAAAATAATTTTAGTAGTCTAAATTAAACTGTGCCTTCTAAAACAATTGTAGATTACTAGCTAATCAGTGTATGAATGTGGGAAGCTGGGCTTTCTCGGCTGCTGTGTATTGGAAGCAATGATTCTGCTGGAAATACAAGGGCTTGGAGAACCTGCCCAACTCTGACTTGACTTTGGTTGGTCATTGTCCTAGGTTACGTGAAGACAGGCTCTATCTCACTGGCTCAGACGCAGGATCGACTGATCTCCCTGAAACGCATTGCCTCAAGGCTCAGGTACATATAAGAGAGAAATTGTACCTGATCTTAAACTTTACCTGTGCTTGCCTTTCCTGAGAGGCTAATGACGAGCATCCTCTGTGTGTTCTGTGGCAGTGTAATGGGGATACCTTGTGAAATCATGGCTCCAAAACAAGTGGCACAACTACACCCACTAATCAACATTCATGACCTGGTGGGTGCCATGTATGTGCCAGAGGACGCAGTCGTATCATCTGTCGATGTGAGTCTTGCTCTGGCAAATGCTGCCTCTCGAAATGGTATGAATATTTTTAATCTATAACATGCCAGCTCCCTTGTGTGATGTCTACCTTGTTGTTATAAAGGAAAATGACTGTGTGATAGGGATGGTATCAGATTTGGAATTCATCTTATTCTGTTTTGATGACCAAAGTCTGCTAATTTCTTTAAAGAAAATATGCTTTAAATCCATTTTTCTCCACCCTAAAGTCAGGTCAGATCTTGTTTGGGTACTGCATCTTTAGAGATATTTAGTATAAGGAATCATACACCACAGGCTGCTGTAGTGATTATTTATATTGTCGGAGAAAAACAGAGTTCTCACTCTTTTGTTTAGGTACAGCAAGTCAGATGCTTTATTAACTCTCACAATTGTGCAGAGGAGAGAGCTAAGCAGATCTCTCTCAGGTAACTAATTACAGCAAGCATTTATACCTTTCATTACAGAAATAATGAGGAACAG